CTGTTGAGAGTTCAAAGGAGATTTACTAGAATGATCCAAGGAACTCCAAATACAAGAAAAGATTCGAGAAATTGGACTTATTCTCCTTGGAACAGAGAAGATTAGGGTGACCTCATTGAGGTGTTAAAAGTTATGAACCGTTCTTACAGCGTAAAGAAGGATGACATGTTTCCATTAGTTGCTATGTCTGTGACTAGGGGAATTGAGAAACTCAAGAAAAATGCTGCATTTTAATCCTTTGTAAAGCAGCTCATAGGTTTGTACAGCACAGAAACATGTCCATGCCAACCAGGTTTCCTAAACTGAACTGATTCCATTTGCCTGCGTTTGGCTGACATTCCTCTAAACTTTTCCTGTTCGTTTACCTGTCCAAATGTCTTTTAAATATTGTAAGTGCACCTGCATCTACCACTTCCTGTGGTAGCTTGTTCCATACCCACACCACCCTCTATGTCTCAAAAAAAGTTGTCACTCAGGTCGCTTTTAAATCTATCCCCTCTCACCTTAAACCTATGCCCTCTAGTTTTGCACTCCCCTACCTTGGGAAAAGACCTTGGCTATTTACCTTATCTATGTGCCTCATGATTTTATGAACTTCTGTAAGGTCAGCCTCCAACCTCCGACGCTCCAGGAAAAGAAGTCCCAACCTCTCCAGCCACCTTTTATAGTTTAATAACATCCTTCGTATAGCAGGGCGACCAGAATTGGAAACATTACTCCAAATGTAGCCTTACCAATGTCTTGTACAGCTGTAACATCATGTCCCAACTCCTGTACTCAATGTTCTGACCGATGAAGGCATTCATGCCAAACACCACCTTCACCAGCCTGTCTACCTGTGATGCCATTTTCAAAGAACTATGTACCTGCACCCCTAGGTATCTATTTTGTTTTAAATATTAAATATTGCATATTAAACTGGCCAAACATCAGACTTTTCATGTTCAAAAGTGGGCACTGCCATCGATTAAAGATGTAGGAAATTCAGCTGGGTCAGGCAGCATCTGTGGAGAAAACAGAGTTAAGATTTAGGATTGATAAATTTCATTGCTCTGAAATATCTTTCTCCACACAAGCTTCCTGACCTCCGTTTTTCCAGTCTTTTTTTCTCTCATTTCTGATTTCCAGTATCTGCAGTGTTTTGCTTTTCTCGTTCAAAACATAGGAGCTCTTTCCAAACATGAAAGCAGCGAACAGAAGATCGAGCGGCTGGACTTCAGCCTGCTTTCTATCAGACATGCATCTGCTGGGGCTTTGGGCTCAGTTGTTTTATACCCATTTGTTCTAGGCAGAAGCGTAGATATGGGCTTTTACTAAACTTTTCCATAACTGTTTGTCAACTGCAGAAATAAAGATATGGCCCATGAAAACATGCAAAAAGAGAGTTCCTTAAATTACCACTTAAAACAACCACTTTAAATTCCTTTTAAATTAATGGAGCATTGAATTGGTAAATCATGTCACGAACATCAACGGTCATAATCCCTGGTGACCTGAGTGTCACTCAGCTTTATGGTTTGCGTTTGATCTCTTTGTTATTACGTACTGGGATACATTGAAAACTGTTGGTTTGTGTGCTAAACAGACAAATCATCCCTTACAAAGTGCATCAGACTAGCCGAACAGAGTGCAGAATACAGTGTTACAGCCACAGAGAACGTGCAGAGAGAGGGAGAAATCAGAATTTGAGAGGTCCATTCAAAAGCCTGATAACAGCTGTGGAGAAGCTGTTCTTGAATTTGTTTGTACATGTATTCAAACTTTTATATCTTCTGCCTAATGGAAGAGGGTGTGGGAAGGGTCTTTGATTATGTTGCTTGCTTTCCCAAGCCAGTGGGAAGTATAGATGGAGTCAATGGATGGAAGGCTGGCTTGCGTGATGGACTGGGCTATGTTCTCAACTCTCTATAGTTTCTTGCGGTCTTGGGAAGAGCAATTGCCATACTATGCTGTGATGCATCCACATAAGATGCTTTATATGGCGCATCTATAAAAGTTGGTAAGAGTCTTTCTGGACATGCAGAATTTCCTTAGCCTCCTGAGAAAGTAGAGACATTGTTGTGTATTCTTGACCCTTGCTAACAACATGGGTGGACCAGGACAAATTGTTGGTGATCATCACTCCCAGGAACGTGACGTCTCAACCATCTCCACTTCAGCATCATTGATGCTGAGGCGTGCCCTCCACTCTGCTTCCTGAAGTCAATGACCAGCTGCTTCATTTTGCTGACATTGATGGAGAGATTGTTGGCTTTACATCATGCCGCTAAGCACTCTATCCCTTTCTTGTATTCTGTCCCATCATTGTTTGAGATCCAACCTGCAATGGTGGTGTTGTCTTGTTGTCTTAGGCAAACTTGTAAACTGAGTTGGAGCAGTGCTTGGTCACACAGTCGTGAGTGCATAAGGAGTATAGCAGGGGGCTGAGTACCCAGCCTTGTAGGGCAACAGTGTTGAAGATTATGGTGGAAGAGGTGTTGTTACCTGTTCCTACTGATTGCGGTTTATGGATCAGAAAGTCAAGGATCCAGTTACAGAGGGGCAAGCCGAGACCTAGGTCATGGACTTTAGAGATGAGTTTGTTTCAAATTATGGTAGTGAAGGCAGAGCTGGTGGACCAAACGGCGCACAGTTAAATATGTAGTTCTGAGTGATGTGGGAGATTTTGATTCATTGAGCACTTGCATCGGTACTCTGAAAGGAGGGTACGGATTCTTTGAGACTTATACCAGGCTGGGAACATTGTCATGTTAAACCAAATAACTAGGGCTTTAATTTAAAATGGATCAGGTGGAGTCAGAATTTGGGTGCGAAAAAGTTTATGAATCTAAAGGAAGAAATCCAGGCCAGAGAGTAGCTTGGCAACTTGGATAAAGAAAATTTAAGTCTATTGGAAAGGGGCAGGGTGTGTAACAATGAAGTCCAGTCGTGAATAAGGTCAAACTGGGAAAATTAAAATCAATGGTGCTGGAATCAAAATGCATAAAGCATTTAAAACAAGAGGAAAACCAGTGGCACAAATAAAGATAAATTGACTTGATCTACTGGCCATGATTGCATGATAGACAAAGTTGAGGAAAAAATGTTGTGGTGTACTTGATGTTTCAAACTGAAAGATACAATGGAAAGAATGTTGGGAGAAGCCTTGACGATAAAGGGATATAGAAGGACAGTCGTGAGGAAGGATCCCAAAGAGCAGAGTTATTATCACAGGGATGAGAAAGAAGAAGGGACATCAAATATAGGAGTAAGTTGCAGGCCTCCCTGCAGCAACTATCCTATTAGAGCATTAATCAAGAATCTCTGAAATAGAGAAGGAACTGGTAATAAAAGTAATTTATTAACGGCTTTGACAAATTAAATAGATAAAAATATGTTGGAGGATCGATTCACGGTATAGTTTTGAGACAGTTTCCTAGAACACAGGAGGCTATTTTAATATGGTTTTTTGTTCAAAAAATAATAACTTAAAATGTGTCAGAGGAGTTTAGAAGAGAGGTGTTTAGAATAATTTGATTATCCTTGTAGGTGCAGCATAATGTTAACATGCAGATATTACGAATGATTCTGAAAATAAGTTTATGTTGCCCTTTATTGCCAAGATATTGGAATATGGAAAGAGGAGTATTTTATTGTAGTTGTAGAGTCATTGAAGTCACACTTGAAGTACCACATAAAATTTTGGCTCCATATGTAAGGATATACTTGCACTAGGAATGAAAATTTCATTAAGTTGATACCTGGAATATGTTGTAATTGATGTTTATAAATTGTGGGATTGTAGCTTTAAATGTTGGATAATGAAACGAGTCACCTGATCTCTGATATTTTTCACTTTAGACCTTTTTATTAATCCTCTCTCATTGCACAATATCAGATACAGGGAAGCATGCACTTTACTTGGCTCCAGAACATGCTATTCTCAGAAACCATTGTGGAAAAAAAATAAATTCCTCATTTAGGCTACATTTACCTAGCTGATCTTTTTTTTCCAGTCTGTTTAGATTTAAATAAGTCTGACGAGCTTCCATTATTTCTTCCTTTTATACTCCATCCTCCTGTGTTAGCAGCCGTACACTACTCCCAAAAGTAACTTCTTGTCTACATTATTTCTAACCACCACTCAAACTGCTTTTGCATCCTGAACTTTGATCATCCTTCTCTATTTTTTTAATGCCATAATTAGTAGAGAGAGCCACCTCTCCATCTTTTTCTGGCACCCTGTCCTTCTATCCTTCCTAAAGTCTGGGGGATATCAAGAAACTTTACTTTGTTTTTAGTACTTTTGTGCTAAATGTAAAGTGGCATGATGAGATAACATACCAAAACTATACTGTCAACGTTTGCTGTTAAGTAAACTAACATTTGTGTTTGTGTGCTACACCTTCCTGTGAAATACAGGGCCTGGGTGCATAAGGTGCTAAGTACTGGGGCCTATGTTTTTGTGGGGTGGGAGATCTTGTGCTGCGATGAATCTGGGCCAGGAGTGGCCAGTTGAATTGAGCTGAGTCCAGGCAGCATGTGCAACAGGGAGTGCGCTTCGCCCCTGATCTGGACAAGAAAACAGGACCAGGAGGGACATGCATTGATCTGAGTCTGGGCTGCAAGCTTGGGGGAATGGGGACTGTTACGTGATCTGTATCTGAAGCTTGCTGCCACCTTTTCCCACTGGGGTCAAAGGGGCTATGGTCTTAGGAGGAAGCAGATAAGGGGAAAAGTGATTGAAAGAGTGCGGACAGAAGGAGAGGAGGAAGTTGCAGTGATAAGGGGTTGTTGATTCAAACCCCTTTTATTTAAGAGGGGAAAATTATGGTGGTAATTAGAGGTGAGGTCTGAAGATTTTGTTGCCTATTTTCTGCCTATCTATTAATAAATCTTTACAATGCTGTCTGTCTCAGGCATGCTTTATCTTTCAGTACCACATTGAGGTAATAGAAACAAATCTATTGATCTGAAATTTATCCTAATAGATTAAGTGGTATTGGATTTCTTTCTTTCAGAATGAACACTGGATTTAGAATTATTTTTGATCAATATAAGAAGCTGTATGAAGATGGTTTTTCAGGGCAAAATACGACCTGCCATGATGAAGAATTAAAAGGATTGGTCAAACAGAAGTTAATAGAAAGGGCTGCAGATTTAGCCCATTTCCTACAGGATGATATGGTTGAAATTATTTCCAAGTCTTTGCACAAGACAATGAATTACGCAAGTACATTAAAGTTGCTGATTGGGGCTTTTGAATTACTGGAGTTAGCCGCTGTCAACCTCTTCCTGTACCCATGGAGAAATGAATTCAAAACAATTAAAGTAAGTCTCTTCCCAAATGTTCATACAGTGACTTGCTAGTTACATTGTTCTCTTGCACAGTATAGAATTGATATTGAGGGATTGAAATGTTAAATATGTTGGAACAGCAATTTTAAATGTATTGCTTTCATTATGTTCACCTTCAGTCTCAAAATGAATATTCCTTTATCACATGTATATCCAAAATTTGGGTACTCGCGATTATCCAGCAATTTCCAGCATGTGCTGGGTTGAGAGGTATAAGTATCTTCCATTTGAGGCTCTATGCTAGTTGATACTGTTCATTACTTTTGTATAAATAAATATCTTATCTTTTACTTTAGATGTTTTCAGGAGCGTATGTGCACTACCTAAAACCTGCAATCTGTAATGAAGACCTGATAAGATTCTTTAAGAAAATGGGCTATACATTAAAGGATAACCTCCAACTAGAAATTAAAGACCTACCACATTCTTTGGAATTGATCAGGCTGGCATTTGAATTCTTTGTTACGAGGATTGAATGTGAAATCTTGTTGGAAATTGTAGACAAGTTGGAGCACTACAAAGTTTCAGTTGATGAATTGCTTCAAGAAAGGAAATTGATGGAAAACATTGATATTTGTGTGAATAAACTGAAGTGCCTTCCTGCTGCTGACAGAAATCCAAGAGAAAACCTACTTAGAAAGACACTTCCCACTGAAGATAGTGTTGGCAAGGACTTAAGAGGGATTTCTAGTGTAAAAAATCAAGCCAGTTCTCAATCCCAGAGGGAGTATGATGGAAATGCAATCCATTCACCGACATGGAAGTCCGTGTGGCCTGCTCCTGAATGCCAATGCAAGAATGATGATTATAACAAACACTTTACTGGAATCCCTGATACTAATTGTGTTCCTTCAATGAACCAAGACCCTGCAAAAGATGGATGTGCATTTAACTCAATTAGTAACTCTTATACAGATAGAGATAGGAAAATGGTATTATTGGAAAACATTGATGCTAAGAACTACAAACAGCATTGCTGCCTTGGTAACGGTGAATCTGTTCACTTCTGTTGTGAAACATGTCTCTTGTTACACACTATTATGTGTGAAGCTGTTGAAAACTGTACCAGTCATGGTCATTCCTTTACATTTTTTGGTGCTCAAAGCTCAACATATTTGCCAAAAGCTGAAGCTTCTAATAGTGACTTAAAAGGGCTATCATATGCAGACATAGTAAAAACAGATTCAAACTGTGGTATTTGTCAACGTGCGTCTGTAAGGTTTCTTTGTGAATGTGGTATGCGTGTGTGTGGTTACTGCGGTTATGAAAATATTTTGCTCTGCAAGATCTGTGGCAATAAAATTTCAAAAGCTTGAATCCTAATTTCAAAAGCAACCAATAATAGCCTGGAATTGAATAGTTTAAATGAATCTTCATACAATTACTTAATTGTATGTGATGGGTTGGTAAAATTGTGGTTTATTTTGTAAAAGCTATACTTAACATAATTTTCCTTACTTAGAATATCAATTTTTGCTTAAGGAAATAACCAAAGAATTATGTTGTTTGTAAATCAAATGCTCTACTTAAGCATGCACAGTATTGTCATTTTTATTACAAGTCGTTTTGCACAGTCATTTTGATGCAAGCTGATTTTTTTTCATGTGTAGGACTTTTTTTTAAAATTAACACTTTTCTAGAGTTTGTAATTTTGAAAAATGAAATGTATTGCTTGGAAAAATTAAACTGATTTACAGCTGATTTCTACTTTGAAATCATAATTCCAAATATGTACAGACAATGTTTGCTGGTTGGAGTGCAACTTTTTGTTATATCATATGCAAGAAAGCAAAATATAAGAACAAGGAAAATTATTTTTGTGACTAGTAAAAGTTTGACAGTGGAGTTGCAAGAATATCATTGTAACCATTGGGCAAAATCTTCAATTCTATCAATCAGAAATGCTTTACTGCAATTGAGGAAAGAGTCCAGAATTTTTAAAATATAAACAGTATTGTTTCTAGCAGTACTTTTTTTAAACACATAGTGTCACGTGGAATCTAAATCAACAGTCCCACATCTCCCAATTCAACACTGTAATTAGTCTTCTCCTGATTTATTGCAATTTCAAATTCCTTTAGTTTTTAATTGCTTCTGAAGTGTGGGTTTCATTTCTGATCAGGAATAGATATCTTAAAGTGGACTTCACCTAAATGATGGGAAAATATTGAAATTGAGGGGAGGGGAATAGAAAACCCCAGGACATTCTGCAGGTAAATCTGATAAGTATCAAAGTTAAGGAGAATTTTATTTTCTGATCCCATTATGGTCTCTCCCTGTATCCATCACTTTTTTTCCAGCCCTACAATCTTCCAAGAGCTCCCTGTTCCATTTCTGGTTTTTTTTATGCAACCCTGATTTCCTTCACCTCAGCATTTGCAGCTATGTTTTCAGGTGTCTCAGTCTGTTGAATCTAAGATCCTCTCCTTAAAGATCTTAACGCTCCTTTTTGAATACCACTTTTGACAGTTTTTTTTAAACCAAAGTTGTTATAGCTCATTGTTTAATGTCAAATTCTATTGTAATGCTCCAGTTCAGTGTTTTCAGATGTACTTATAAAGCACACTTTCAACTTTTTTAGGAAGTAACTTGCTTTATTACATTGTCACTGCTTTTACCCATGGTCAGATTTTTAAATGACTGGTATGTTACTACTAGAAAGGCTGCTTCCTGATCTTTGAGCACAAAATGTTTCCTCTTTAACAAATAGCAAATTATTGTTAAGCAACAATAGACTTTTCAATCAAATGTTGCAATATTTAAATGAAAATTTAAGTTCTGTTTTAATCCATTCAAGATCATGGCTGTTTTGTATCTTTACTTAATCTCCCTGCATTGGTCCAGGTTTTCATACCCTTTCTCTTGACAATTTTTTTTTGCATAGTATTGAACCACATTTATTACTGTTACGGCAGTATGTAGATGAGAGCAATCACTATCCTAAATGTTTCTCCACACTTTTTCTCTTACAATAACATTTTGTTGACTGGTGTCCTCTGGGAATGGTTGGTGTCATTTAACATGGAGGTACCAGAGCATGTTTTAATTTTAAGAAAGTGAGCAATGCAATGAAACAGGGACATATGACACAATTGTTAAAAGATAACTTAGCTTCTGGGATTTGGCTTTTTTAAGCAACTCCCAAGACCACAGAAGGTGAGATACCCCCACATTATCATTCTGAGGTGCAAGGCTGGTTGTTAGGACTTGGATAACAAAGTTTATACTATCCTGAATGTATTCTTATTGACACTGCTGCCAGTGGAAACAATCTTCCATCAATTGTCTGTTAGAACAATCCCAATGTCTTATGTCAACAGAGGTGGCTGTTGTCAAATTAAAAAGGAAGGAGAAGGTGTGTGTGTGTGAACTGAGGTACCCTGAAGATTGAAAGGACACTTGCTTCTTGGGCCGGGACACAAGCCTGAATGGTCTAGAGCAGTTAACCCTCTAGCGACAATATTGGAGCTGTTGGGGGATGTCACCTTTCTGGGTCTTCAATCACCTCAGAAATGAACAGCCCATTGTAAGCTGCCTCAGCATTATTGGTAGTCTTCTCACGTGGAGGTGGAGGAGAGAGGGGAAGAAAATAGTTGTCATATGTAGCTCGTAGAAGGCCTGCTGAAGCCTAAATTGGTGGCCAGCCAGGAAATACAATAAAATGGAGTGCAACATACTGGGCTGACTCATCTCATACTTCAAAATGGAGCTCCAGTTTGATCAGTATAATCATTTCCCAGTATTACTTTTTTTAAAAAACGCTCAGCATAAACTGCCACTTAACCTTAATTGACCATCCACCTCTGGATGGTGGGCAACCACACTTTTGCTATTCCAGTCTTATCCCATGTGCTAGGAAGATGCCAGGCTCTCCTGCCACTAGTGCTCATCACCACTTTACCAGTCCATTTCCGGACAGTTTGTAAATTCTTGGTCTCTTTGCACCTGTTAGCGAGGAGTTCAGCATTTCTTAACTCAAAAGGCAGCCTTTGCAACATGTTCTGCTTCTGTATGCATGATTAGTTCTTTATAACATTAGATGTATTGAACTGTAAATATTGTAATACATCATTTATGCAAAGGCAAATCTGAAACAATAAGCAAAGATGACCAAAAATAATCCAATCCTATGATTTAAACAGGCAGAAGTGTAAATGTCAATGGCAGTACACTGCTGTAAAGAATACAGCCCCTTGAGCCTGATCTGCCATTCCAGAACATCCACTTCAGTGCCATATTCCCATGATATCCCCATATTTTTTCATATCAGTGACTAAGAATCTAAGTCTCTTCACCCTCCTCTCAATGCACTTTTCCATCAAGCTTTGTGTCATCTGCAAACTTGGAAATATATTGCAATTAGCTCCCACATCCAAATCATTCGTATAGATTGTGAAAAGTTGGGAACCAGGTACTCGTCCTTGTAACACCCCACTGGTTAGAGCCTGCCAACCTGAATTTATTCCCACTCTCTGCTTTCTGCCTATTAACCAATCCATAATCTGTGCTAGTATTTTACCTGAATTCTATGCACTTGAATTCTGTTTAGCAAAAACTTTCTGAAAATCCAAATGCACTATCTACTGATAATGTCCTCAAAAAAAATAACTGATCATGATTCCCCAAATCCATGTTAACTTCTGGTTTTGTCAAATTTAAGAGCAGAAATATTTTTAGGATTATTCTGCACTGTCGCTTCTTGGTTTTTAGCACAAAACTGAATCGAGGCTGTCATATTCTGTTGATCTCAATGTCCTTAAAATATGATGATGCTGGATACTCCTCTCAAGTCTTGATATGAAACTTACAGAAATCAATGCCCCAGCATAAAGTGATTTTTCTACAACATCAACAAAATGCTTTTTTCCAGCATATAGCAGATTTATTATGAAGATCTGATCATAGCATTCTGTAACATTACATACACAAAATATCTTTAAATAATTTTTCCAGAATGTTACATTTAGACAAAATTAGAACATAAAACCAAAAAAAAGGATTCGGAACAAATTACAGCATAGTTTTCACTCACCTCATGACAGTATAGTAAAACAAAATGTTGGCAAATTGTTCAGTTTATGGACTTTGAGGCAACAGAACAGCAAAGTTGAAAGATTGATTAGTTTCATACAACAATGAAGTATTTTTAAAATCTTTTATTTCTGTTCTGTACTAGTGTTTTCTTCCCCACAGTCACATCATTTTGATTGATTCAGTGCATCTTCTCTGAACACTGATTTTCACCAGAGCATTGCCTTGTACTAGGTTGCTTGTAATAACAGCCACTTCACCCCATTCAGCATGGAATAGAGCACATTCTTCCTTGTCCCTTGAGCAATAATCTGAATGAAAGAATACATTACACATAGAATAAAAAGCTACAATATTTTGATAATTTACTTAATTTCTATAATGCTAGGCACTAACTTACTGCTGTAGTATGCTTTTAGTCACATGTTGCAATGCTTTAAATCCTCATTTAATCCATCAAAACTTTATTTTCTATTTAGTTATGTAATCTATAATAGTATATGAAAGATTTGCATAGAAGTTGGTGCAAAATTTAATGGTAGAAGAATAGCAAAATTACAGCAAGCAAAAACCAGCCACCCTACTTTTCTTGATAGTAACTAAATGCAGGTTTCTTTATAATCTAGATCAGAAACGAGTCAAAAGTCAACTAATAGACTATTGCATTGACATAACCTTTCTTTGTTAAAATGCCCTTTATGTGCATATTTTCTAATAGTTCATTCTTAATAGTGCAATCAATCACTTTGTTCAAAAGCACGGTGGTTCAGTGGCAGCGCCAGGGCCCGAGTTCGATTCCACCCGCGGGCGACTGTCTGTGTGGAGTTTGCACATTCTCCCTGTGTCTGCATGGGTTTCCTCCGGGTACTCCGGTTTCCTCCCACAGTCCAAAGATGTGCAGGTTAGGTGGATTGGCCATGCTACATTGCCTGTAGTGTTCAGGGATTTGTAGATTAGGTGGGTTCTGGGGGGATGTTCCGAGGGTAGGTATGGACTTGTTGAGCTGAAGGGCCTGTTTCCACATGGTAGGGATTCTATGATACATTCAAATAATGAGGTCCTGACTGATGAATACAATTCAGTTAGAGGGTAAAAAATAATGAAACTGTCATGTAATGGGACTTTGAAATTTGAAACCAAATGATGAGAAATGTATCCAATTCCAAAGAGAAAAAAAAACAATCACAATGTTTAGGCTGGGACTGCAGCAGGAGACGCCATATTACGTGTACTCAAAATACTGCAATGCAGATAGAATAAAATAGGCCCGACAAAAGAGAAAGCTACTTCATGTAAACACAAAAATCAGCCCTGTACCTGAGACGGCTTTAGGCAGTAGGTTCCTTACATCACACTTTTAAACGTTTTTGTTGATTGTCCACGCTAGAAGCTGCCCGCTTGTTTCGATGATGGGGGAAGGTAGGCATCAGCTCTGGTTCACATGCTTAAGAGAAATAGTTTTGATTTAGTTTGTAATAATTCAAATTAAAATCACACTGAATTTCAATCTTTTTATCCTTTTCTCATTTCTACCAAGTAGAGGCATTTGGATAAAAGTTATATCCTGAACAGCCATGAATTTGCAATTCGAGTCTGACACTTGGCACATTTAGTGTTGAAAGGGCATTTCAGGGTGTCAAACTACTTTTGCAATGGTCCCTACTTTACATTATAAGTAATGACAAGGCTATCAAGAAGCTGCAGTCTAAGTTACTCTGTTTCTCCAAAACGTTTCCTATACCTGACTCTTTTTGAAAGACTCTCTGTTGAAACACTTGGAAGGGAAGGAAGTTGCTGTACTTGTGGGACAGATGCCCAATAAATACATCAGTTTTTAAAAAATATTTAATCACGCATTCTTACACTTGCTAAGCCAGCACTTCCTAAGTGCCCTTGTCAAGGTGGTTTATTGTCCTGTTTAAGCTACTCCCAGAACTGAAAGTAATGCACTAAAATGTCAATGATTGTGTTCCCGTATCTGTGTACTTCTAAACGTGGCATTTTTGTTTGAACACAAGGGGCTAAATGCAGAATTTTCTGCTAGTCAACGACATATACTCCCATTCATTTTCAGATATGGTTGCAAGTTTCAGAAACTACTTTTTTAATGCGAGATTGAGTTTAAAGTAGAATTATGGGAATATCCTTTCAAACAGCTGTCCAATAATACAAAAGTTACAATATTGAAACTGACCTTTTAGCCTAAGAAACTGTGATCAGCATTAGTTATCTCCCCTGTTTTCATAACCATCTATCCAAATTAACTTAAATATTGACAGAAGTTTCTGCCTCAACTCTGGAAGTGTTACCACAGCTTCACAAATCACCAAACGCTCTTCTTTGATAACTCACTCTAGATCCTGCAACAATGGAAAACAGACCTACTTGTGTCTACCCTGCTCCATCCTTGCATTATTTTGAAGCACGTCTATACTCTATTGAGCTAAATTTTTATTCAGGGTTAGGAACCTGAAATGAGGACTAGTTCTAGGTTTTTGCCCTGCACAGCACGTCACAGATATACCCACTGCTACTTTGAAACAAGAACAGGGAGTGGCCTCACCATCCAATTAAGGCCAGCATGAGGGCTCATGATGCTCGAGGACCAATCGTTTGGATTAGCAGCCCCTTGGACAAGATGTGGTCTGCCAGCTGAAGATGGAGCACCAGCAGGGAAGGGTTAAGTTAATTTCTTGGTTTTTCAAAAAGGGCTATAACTGCCCCTGTGTGATCCTGGAGAGAGAGCCCCTCCAGAGGAGGATTTGCATTCACAGCTCAGTAGTGGGATAGGACCTTGCACAAAGAATCAGAGCTACCATGTGCCCCACTCCAAACACACCAGGTTATTGTGCCCACATTACTGACTGGAAATCCCAGTTAGAATGGAAATGAGATAATAAGCTCCTTAAGTAAATTAATTTGCTGATTTAAAAAAGGATACCTGCCACTTACTAACAGTGTTGCTGCTCCAACATTGAGCCAGTCTCTTGAAAAATATTTTGAGATCATGATGGGGAATCAAGACAATGGTCAACAGTACCAAATTGCAAGCCCACCCACCTAAGGTGAAAACACCAAATCCAGTGGATCAATTAGGCTTGAAAAGTCATGACAGCATTAAGTAAATTTATGAACAGGTTGATTAAAATAACTATAATCTAGCTCTAATGTCATATGTGACGAAACCGAGGTCTTTAGAAACCAAATATTCACATTTTACACACTGTTTACACTCAAGTGACCTGATGCAGTATTAGTCAATCTGGAACGTTTTTAATATTTAACATTTCAATTCCCTCACTCCTAAATATTGCTGTTTTTCAACAAGGAAGCTGGGTTTGCAACTTTGAAAATCTAGACAGGAGCAAGGGGAGATCTGGACAGACCACCAAAAGCAATAAGTTGTTGCAACAATTCTTACATGATAACTCAAAAGGAACATTGATTATTATACAATACAGAAGTATATAAGATCCACTGAGGTAATTCTAATTTATTGTAAAGGAATTGGCACATTCAGAATCAAATCTGTACTTCTATATATAATGAAGCAAATTATTGCAAAATATTTCCAATATTACTTACGTAATGGTTTTTCTTTAAAATAGGAACTTTCCAGACTGTCCTCCGCAGTTGCCCTAAACACAAAAGTAGTATCCATCAACCTCTTATGTTACATGCTAATCACACAAGCACAGTGCTATAAAATACACATACACATGCACAATTGCTTTTGTTGCAATCTAGCAGATCTGTACAATGCTTTGTAAAATTCACAATTAATTGTCCAAGTTGCTGAGCCATCAACAACCATAGTTTTTTGATGAAAAACTCAATGCAGCAAACTGAAATGCATGCTTTGGATAACTTAATGGCTTTTGTAGCACTTAAACTAGTGAAAGAACATTGGGGGAAAACTATTAAAAACAAACACAGCCTGAAAAGACCAAACCGTATTTAGAAAATTTGTCCAAGGAAGACAGAAAATAACATGAGATACACTGATTTTCATCAAAGTCAACACAGACTAACAGTCCAAAGTAAAAAAAAAAATCCTCAGAAACAGAAAAGGTGGACATCCAAGATAGAATTCACATGGATATATTCAGGATCAAGTGGGCTTTATGGGACAAGTTGCATTTATCACATTGGATTTTCTGCAACAATGAAACAATGATCTCAACCTTCGTGTTTCTAGCAGTAGACTAAAAGTTTATTTTTGTTTGTAGTGGTGTTAATATTACAGTAGTAATAAAAGGTCAGAAATAATGTTATCCATTTAAAATTGATCAAATACTGTAAATAATATTGATCAAATACTATAAATAAAATTGATCAAATAATGCTATAGTAAAGTTTCGAACAGTTAAATTGGTTTATTACTGTGACAAAAATATTTATTTCAACATCATACCAATTGAAAATTTAAAAAGGACAAGTGTTGCACCAGGAAGTTCCCTGAATAAAGGGTAAAATTGTTTTAGACCAGGAGACCAATATCAAACGATATTATGACCAACCCTATGCTTAATTTTATAGTCTCACCTTCTTTTGCTGTGCTATTTCAACAAACATACTGATATAATACATGGAAGCATTAGCTTCCTCCAAATGCCCTATTTCCATCAGGACACAAAAAAAAATCTGTCACCATGTATAAAATAGATGTTAGAATACCTCTTTTTTGGATCGTACATGAAGAGGAAGTTGAGAAGTCGGAGACCTGCTTCTGACAGCCACGGAAACTTGTGCTTCAGGTTATTGTAAGGCTGTTTTCTCAGAGTGTATTGACCCACTAACGGCAGGTTGGAAAAACCCTGTAGCACATCATAAGTACAGGTAAATAGTGACTCAACAAAATGGGAGGAGCATCAGAAGCAGTGTGGTGAAATACTCTCAAAACTAGGCAAAAAGGAAATCTTAGAACAGAAGCACAATGAAAAGGTTGAACAGACTTCAATATGTGGCAAAGTAACTTTTGAACTTTTTTAAAAAAAATCTAGTTAGCTACATTCAAACCTACTTTTAGCGATAACAAAGCAAAATAGTGCAGATGCTGAAAATCTTGAAATAATAGCATAAATTACTGCAGTTCAGTCAGATGGATGACCATCTGGAGAGAGAAACAGAGTTAAAGGGCCAAAGATTTTAAAGACCATGGAGATGGATGGCCTGCAATTTCCCACCACCAGCAGACAATCTGGAATGTTTCCTCCTCAAGAAAATTTTTAAACATGCTGATTTGGAGGGAAATGGCTATTTGCCCACAGAAGTGGAAAGCCAATTATACCTCTTCATGTACCATTAAGGTTACAGCACAGACACTGGTTGGAATTTTTCAGTTGGCACTCAGGCATCACAATATGGCTGAATCTCAGACGATGATTGGAGATGGACACCAGCAGATAGTGATTGCTGCAGACACAAGTCGTCCTTTATAGGGGCACCCTTTCAACTACGATGACCTGGAAGGTGTAGCCTCACTTCATTTTGAGTCTTTAATAATTCTTCAGAGGGTGCCCCCAAGGTGGACGTGAAAAGGGTATTTCTTGTGGTGGCGTCCAGAACTAGAAGCACTGTATTAAAATTAAGAGTCACTCTTAAAGGACTCAGATGAGGGGAATACTTTTCTCTCAGAGGGTTGTACCACTTTTGGACCTCTGCCTCAGTAGGCAGTTAAAGTGGTTATTAATTTTTTTTTTTAAACAGCAGAGGTAGATAGATTCTTGTTAGGCAAGGGAATCAAAAGGTTATCCGGCATAAATAAAAATGTGGAATTCGGAACACAGATCGGCCCTGAACTTCAGAGCTGGCTCAAGGGGCTGAATGACCTCCTTATGCTTTGTATCTTGACATGTTCTTCCTGCCCCCTGCCCCCATCTTCTCTCAGCTTAAAAACTGTTGCCTTTCCATCTTTAGTTCTGATGAAAGGTTATCAACCTGAAACACTAACTCTGTTTCCGAACACAGATGCTGCCTCACCTGCTGAGGGAATTTTTGCTTTTATACTACTTTTTATGTTCATCTATGACACAGAGACAAGCTCTTTAAACCTCCATATCCCGTTATGTGTAATTAATCAGGAATAATGCTCACAAGTACAAGAGGTGCTTGTATCTGAATTTTCTAACAAATACTTTATATTTTGACTTTATACTAGGGAAGAATGACTTAAAAGCTAACAAGTTGAAATTACACTTCCAAGATGTAACTTACCACACTTAGAGAGTTATGCTCTACAGTATTCGCTGCATCTTAACACAAGTTATTAATACATCTTGGCAGTGAGGGGGCAAATCTCTGATGAATTCAGACAATGACTTACTGGCCATATATTCTCATTCGGAGTCCCTAATAACTGAACGATCAGATCGATCTGATGGATTTCAGAGCTCCCCGGAAGCAAAGGTTTGTGAGCCAGCAGCTCTGCAAGAATACAACCCACTGCCCTACAAACAGTAAAAAGAACAAATTATGAGAAAATCTGCAACAATGTTTGCAACAAACAAAAATCCGAGTAAGACCCAGTAAATAAGATACCTTGTTTTCCACAGATGCTGCTCATTTACTGAGGATCTCCAGGGTATCCTATTGTCTATTTTACACTAAATAAGATACGTACCACATATCAATAGCTGTCGTCTGGGTCTTTGTTCCCAATAGTAATTCTGGTGCTCTGTACCTAAGAACAAAGCATGCAATATTTGATCAAAATTTCAGAGCTCCTGAATATTCACAAGCAACCTCTATTTTTAAATGATGCGCAAGTCAAAATAAGTCATGGCACCTTTGGTTTTGCAAAATAAATGTGATTGGAACATGGCAGAAGTTGGAAACAAAGAAGTGTTATATTTCTACAAGCCTGTGGATGTTGATCGACAAATTGTCAGTTTAATTTCCTTGACTAATTACTGATACTGCTGCTGTGAAGATGAACATTCAAACCATAACATTATGTATATCATTTGCAACAATTAAGGGCAAGAAAACTTCTCAGAGATTCAGAGAGAGGTTTAACGCTGATGGCAGGATCATGCTGCTTGAAGTGAAGCGTCCAAGCTGCCTACTACTTTAGCATCAAATCATATCATAATCATCAGAAAACAGGAGCTACATTAGTTTCTGTCAGCCAACCTACCATAGAGTTACCACTTTTGGAGTCATAGGCTTCAGAGGCACTCCATATGCACGCGCCAATCCAAAATCAGCTGGAAAGAATAATAGATTTAAAACAGTTAGAGGAGGAAAGCAATGCAGTGTCTAATCAGTACAAGGTGGTAATAGTTAATGTTGAAGGGCAGTCAACATTATGCACAGCAAGATTCCATAAATAGCTAAGAGATGAATGATCAGGTAATGTGTGGATGCAAAATACCTAAACATCAGGGTAAGTGAACAGTGGAAAACAAAAAGTTGACAAATGAAAAATTGCATCAGTTTTCAAAAGCTTATTATAAAATGGTTCCACAGAGAAGTCCCATCTTAAATTTATGAAACATTTGCCTTTCATGAAATTTATCAGCAATTTAAACTGACAACTAATTTTATAACACCAAAAGCTAATGATACCAATGAGAATATAAATAAGGTGTTACACATCTTACCTATCTTAACACACCCTTTATCAGTCATTAACAAGTTGGACACCTTAAGGTCTCTGCAAAAAAAGAATGATGTTTGTTACCAACAAGTCACATGTTTGAAAGCTCATCCCAAAGCTGTAGATGAGGTGCAAGTTGCTCATGCAGCGTTGAATCTGAGCAAACCAATTTCTGACTCAGTTCATTTCTAAGGCAGCTACTACAGTTTTCATCAACAATTAAATTATTTATACAGAAAGATGTGAGAATTATATGTTTGTAAAAAGCATCAATTGAAATAAGTATTTCCTTAAATAAATAAAAACAACCATGTCAGGAGAATGCAGATGCTCTAGTTGTTTAATCAATTCAGATTCGGCTATGCCGAGCTATGTGGGATAAATATAACCACAGATTAGTGGTGTAAATTCAGGAAGCTTGTTGGTTATTTACATGGTGGCGCTGAGCAACAGAAATTACTACTAGAGGGTTCAGCAGATATTTCTGAGGGGCAGTGCAAACAATCAAGTGGAAGTGCCCATCATATATTCATGTTAGAACCAGCACAAGTCTATAATATTTGAATGGGGAAATACTGCTACTGTGCTGTGGTTACATCGAAAAGTTCTCAAAAATTCTGTACCAATGAATCAAATAAAATTGGGAAATAAAGAACTACCGGCCAGGAGCTAACAGATATCTCCATGTTCTACTTCAAAATAGTGCCATGGGTTCTTCTACGTTCACGTGAAAGGGCAGATTGGTCTCACTGAATGTCTCAGCCAAATGTCTGTATCCCAGTAATGCTCTGAAGTGTTAGCATTAAATTTGAGCTCAAATCCAGGAGTAGATCTTAATCCCACAACATTCTGGCACATTGGCAAGACTTCTACAATTGAGTCATGCTTGCTTGGAAATGTGCATCACTGAGAACCATGTTACCTCTAGGTGTAACCCTAACTGAACCCTATTGCTTTTCCCCATTTGCTGAAGCCGCACACTAATTTTTTGTGATTCTCATACTATGACATCCATGTTCCCTCTAAGCTGCACAGCTGAAAAACCCTACACACACTCAATCGTCCTCCACGTCTGACTTCCACGCTGGTTTTAAACATAGAATATACAGAACTTAGGAGTTTTTGTAGGAACAACTAATTCCCTCTAAACCACCAAGTTATGCAAGTTCCCTCTATTTAAATTACTGTTTTCTATTCTTCCTGTCAAAATAAACACGTTCACATTTTCCCTTATAATATTCTATCTGCCAACTTACTTAATCTATCTTTACATCTTTTCAGTTTCTCTACCTTTTCTTGACAACTTACTCTCCTATTTTGGTATCATCAACAAATTTACACTCCATACATTCAGTCCCTTCATCCAAGTCATTGATACAGATTGCAAATGTTGAGACCCCAACACTGATCTCTGTGACATTCTACAAGTTACAGCTTGCCAATTCAAAAATGACCCAGTTAACCCTGTTTCCTATTACGTAACTAAATATTTATTTACACTAATGTTATACGCTACACCATGTACTCCTATCTTGTGTAGAAACAAGATATTATGTTTATCAGCACCTTTTCGAAATCAAAGTACATCATATCAGCACGTGCCCCTTTATCTCTCAGATTTACTACCTGTTCAAAAAAATGATATTCCTTAAAAATGATTTGTCTTTCACAAAACTATGCTGACTTCACCTGATCACATTATAATTTTCCAATGGTCCTGCTATAACTGCCTTAATAATTGATTCTAGCTATTTTTCTATGACAGATATTAGACCAATTGGCCTAGCTTCCTGATGGAAAGCAGTATTGACATATTTTCGAGTCAACCGTTCAAACATGTTATTACACACCTCTACAGTACATGGAACTTGAACCTGGGCCTGATGAAGAGGAGGCAGGGTCACCATTCAGCCACCTTTCATGTACACCACCTGGTAATCAGTTTACCATAGTCAATAGAATCAAATGACAGATTCTGTTACAATCAGGGTGCTGTATTTTTTTTTTAAATGCATGTTACATCTGACAAATGTTTTAGATTGGAAGCAATAGTATGTCTGTGGCACTCAGTTTCTCAATTCTCTCACCTGTGAATAATAAAGTTTTCATGTAGATATCGCAATCCCTTCAATAATTGCAGAATTATACATTTTACCTTAAAAGAAAGAAAATTCAATAGTTCATGCATGAAATATTTAGAAAGACAAAAGAGTAATTTTATATAGTAATTTTTAGTCACTACGATAGCATAAAAGAATTAAAAGTGAGAATGAAAAGTGATGCTTTAATCAAGGAGTTGTTACCTAGCTAGACTTTGAAGTTATTTGAATAAACAATTACTACAAGTATTTGAAAATCTGGAACAGTTCTACATTTACCTGAGCCTCTGAAAATGGTGACTGCATATTTTCCAAAAGACTCGCAAGATCCTGTTCACAGTATCCCATTACCAGGAAAATACTGCAGAAATAAAAATGAGAACATATTCATCACCTCTTAACCATCTTCATGTACTCCCTTAGTAGCAGCATTAAATAAAGTACAGGCCAACAGTATAGGAATACACTTTTCCTAACTGTATGTAATATCCAGGGAGATGAAGCATTACTTTGACACCAATCAAAGGATAGCACTTCTGACAGTGACATATTCTCTCAGTACTGCAGTGGACTAGCATCAGCACTAATCAGAAATGTTGTATTTGATGCAATAGAAATATTCTAAATTTTACTGAGTATATATATTTTCCAGTTATAATCTGTCATTCTATGACAACTACCATTTTGTACATTTACCAGATAGAGAACATACAACCAGATGATCCTCTATTTTCCTCTTTATACAGAAGTAAACAGTGAGTGTTTTGTCAATCTTGACATGAAACACTAACATAAGTTAAAGATTTATTAGGGAAAGTTGTGCATACATTTTTTTAAAATACATTTTCTCTTAATTATCATCCATCCCATCCATTGCTGAGCTTGCCCTGAATAGAGCACCATCCTGCAGTTCTACTATCCCATTCTGATTATGTGTAAGGCGCCTTGCCTCATTTCTCAGGAGGCCCCACTAACCCAGATATGTATTAGCTTCCAGGACTGCCGGAACCACAGCGCCTGCCTAGCGATAACTGTTTAGTCTCTGGCCGTGCAAATGCACCGAGCCTCCGGGCCAAATGCTGAGCTCCCTAAGTGAAAGTTCTCAGCTATGTTGTGCTACTTAAATAGAAGGAAATCATCAACATGGACTCAACTCAAACCATCTCAGAAACAAGTTCCATTCATGTTATCTGACAATCTGCAAATTTTCTACCGACTTGCTGGTTTGCCTGGACCCTCAAATGAGAAATTTGGTGAGTCTTGATTGTAGAAAAGGATAACAGTAATAAAGAGAAACAAACTGACAATTTTGATGAAAGTAAAAGTTACACTTTTGATATAGCTCATGGAGTAGTGGGGCTTAGGTAGCAGCTCACTCAGAGTTATAGAGTCGTACAGCATGGAAACAGATCCTTTGGTCCAACTAGTCTATACCACCCATGTTCACAAACTAAACTAGTCCCACCTGCCTGCAATTGGCCCATTTCCCTCCAAACCTTTCTTATTCGTGTACTTACCCAAATGTCTTTTAAATGTAACTACATGCATCCACCACTTCATCTGGCAGTTCATTCCATATATTAACCACCCTCTGTGTAAAGAAAGTTGCCCCCTCACATCCTTTATAAATCTTTCTCCTCTCACCTTAAAAGTATGCCCACTAGTTTTGAACTCCCCCACTTTAGGGGGAAGACCTTTGTCCTTCACCTTATCTATGCCCCTCCTGATTTTATAAACCTCAATAAGATCATCCTTCAACCTGCTCCGCTCCAGTGATAAAAGTCCCAGCCTATCCAGCACTAACCTGTCTAAGTGGTTTCCCACCACTACTTCTTTTAGCTCCACAATATTAGGGTGCCGCAGTTTAAGGAGCAGATTAATCTCTCTCAAACTACTGATGGGGATTCCTGCAAATAAAGAAGAGAAAGGCAAAGTGTATACATGCAGCAGATAGAATTGCAGTAAAATCCTATTTGCTTATCCTTATGTCACATTTATTTAACTAAAAGTGATCAAAATGTATTTAAGTGATTGAAAACAGCATTGGAAAGATGGCAGGTCATAACAGCTGCTATGGAAATGTAAGGTTTTTAAAAATGTCATCATACCCAGCTGCATTTGGGCTTATACTCATTTTCTCTTTTACAAATTAGTGGAATTAGACGCTTGCAAAGAGTTGCTTATGGTGCTGTAATGTAATTGATGAATAAATCCATAACTGGTACTCCAAGATCTATTAATATCAGCTTTATTGCTGAAAACTGATTCAACTTTTTATGCTGTCCAGGGTTCAATGATGCATATTTATGAGATCCACAAAAGAATAAATTTATTTCATTACTACTCTTTAATCCATATTAGCATTCCAGTTTTCAGAGTGATGCAATACTGGTCAATGGTGCTGAGCAAACAGAGATTACTAGCAATAAAGTTAATGCTTAACAGAATAATAAGTGACAGGCATTTTACAACTTACCATTTGAAGAGTATTTTAACTTTCGAAATAACCCACGTGCTGCAATACCTATCAGCCATTAATATTGGTTTAATACTACAACCCACTGTGTTTGGTATTTGTGTGTTAATGGAATGTAATCTCAATTACAGTTTGGTATACATTCAAAGAGACATGACTAGACTGTGGTAGCAATTTTATTTACTGTTTTCGCAACTTAAAAATAAAAGTAATTAGAGCAATTGCACAAGATGACATTATTTACACTTGGTCCCATTTTCATTCCCCATGCTGAAAAGAACACCCTGTTTGTGGCGCTGTCAGCATGATTGAGTGGTCTAGTAGGCTGTAGGCCCAAGGATCATTCTAGAGACTTGAAACAAAAATGTAGTCTTACACTCCAGTGCAGTACAGAAGGAGTAAAATAACGTCAGAGGAGCCATATTTCAGAAAAGCCATTAAACTAGCTGTTCTGTTAGGTGGATGTAAAAGAACCTATCGCTAATATCAAGCCGGAGCATGGACATTATCTCCAGTGGCCTGGTCAATATTAATCCTCAATCAACTTCATAAAAATATATAATCTGGTAATTATCACACTGTTTATTGGAGATCTCTTTGTGCAAATTAGCTGATTTTCCTTCAAAACAACAGTAGCTTTATATCGATACCCACGTGGTGCCTGGCTGTAAAGTATATTGAAAAATCCTGGTTCATAAAACGTATTGCAACGTATTTTGGAGGCAGCTGAACTAACTGGTAAATTGTGTATGCAAAATAAGACCAAAATAATACTGGTTCAAAATATACACTTGGCGCGCAATGAGTTTTGGTATTATTTCTAAAAGGTTTCGTAAGTTTCTAAAAAGAATGCACTTTCACGAGCAGATTGAAAACAGCATCAATCTTGATATTTCTCACTTACCATCCCTTTCTTTATCCATTCGAACCTTCTTAAGGGCAACAATTTCATCACTTTTTGTATCATGAGCACGGTCTAAAACATGAAAAATGTGAATGCAGAAATTACTACCTTGTGGCACGAGTTAGCTCAGCTGGCTGGACGTGCGAGGGTTCGATTCCTACACCAGCTGAGATTATCATGAAGGAATCTCCTTCTCAACTTCTCCCCTCACCCTCAGTGGTGACCCTCCGGTTAAAACCACCACCAGTTATCTTTTTCTAATGACAGAGCAGCCCTATGGTCCAGAAGACTATGGTGACATAGCTCACCTTTACTACCTTTAGTTTATCACTGCTATTTGTAGGAGTTTGCTGTGTGCAAATCCAAAGCTTTTTTTTGTATTTGCTTATGTTTATTAGCTCAGTCCTTAAAATGGGGACATTCTTTTGCTGTTTTCTTTTTGATGTACAGTGATGGAGAACCCAAAGTCTCCTTATATTTGATTAAGAAAGGTATATACTCATGGAATCCTTTAGGGTGCTTGGTCTAGTTGGGTTCACCTGTCAATGGTAGTAGATATACTGCCAGAGGCTCAAAGGGAAAATAACTGTATCCCGAGAGAATAGCAACTATATGTACCAAAAGTAACAAATTGCCAAGGTAACAGTATTATACTAATCTTGTTATCCCAATGGGAAATAAAGTGGTTAGTAAAATTCTAATTAGTTTTTCCTCTCAATATAATCATTATTATCATCAGTCAAAAGTGAGAGAAATGTTTAAAAACTATTTCAATTTGTATGGTTAAAATGACCAAAAATACTCAGCTCAGAAATAAATGGGAACATCCTTGCAAAACCAGGGATCTAAAAACAGGAGGTTCAAGAAAGACATTTTAGAATGTGGCATCCATTTTTAAACAATTTTACTTGGACAATTCAGCACCAAACTTCCTGCCTATTTGGCTGCTTGCACATTGATCAGTTCCAGCCCTCCTAGCAACCTTTGACCCCACCTGATCAGGGCTAACGTGAATTGTCCACTGCCCAAAGGGCTCGGCTTCAAATCCAAAATCAAATATTCAGTGAGGCCTTGGTTGTGAAGCTGTCAGTTTTGAGAGCGTGTATCTTTAATGCTCTTTGAATCCCCCAACTGTCAAATTTGATAATAAGCAATGTTCCCCACCTGTACAGCCATAATCCGAAAGATCCTGCACAAGCCATGAGCAAGTTGGTACCTTTAAATGACCAAAACTATATGGCCATGCAAAAAGAAACTTAGAAGGACTGTGCACTTAACCGCACATGCCCTTAAAATTTATACCATAAGATCTAAGAGCAGAGCTAGACCTTTCAGCCCATTGAGCGTGCTCCACCATTCAATCATGGCTAATATGCTTCTCAACTCCATTCTCCTGCCTTTGCCCCATAATCCTTGGTCCCCTTACCAATCAAGAACCTGTCTATCTCTGTCTTAAATACAATCATTGCCTTGGCTTCCACAGTTTACTGTGGCGATGACTTCCACAGATTCACCACTCTCCAGCTAAAAAAATTCTTCCTCATCTCAGTTCTAAAGGGTCGAGGCTGCACTGAGGCTTAGCTCCTAGTCTCTCCAACTAAAGGAAACACCTTTCCCACATCCACTCTATCAAGCCTCTCAGTATTCTGTAAGTTTTATTCAGATCCCCCTCCCCACTTATCCTTTTAAAACTCCATCAAGTTGACCCAGAGTCTTCAACTGCACCTCTTATGATAAGCCCTTCATCCCCAGATCATTTTTGTAAATGTCCTGTGATCCCCTCCAAGACCAGCACATCATTCCTTTGATATAAGGCCCAAAACTACTCTCAATATTCCAAACGCGGGTCTGACCAGAGCCTTACACAGCCTCAGCAGTACATTACTACTGTTGTATTCTAGCTCTCTTGAAACGAACGCTAACATTGCATTTACCTTCCTAACTGCATGTTAACCTTAACAGAATCCTAAACTAGGACGCCCAAATCCCTTTGTGCTTCAGAATTCTGAAACCTTTCTCCATTTAGAAAATAGTCTACACCTCTATGCTTCCTACCAATATGCATAACTTCAAACTTTCCCACATTTTATTCCATCTGCCACTTCTTTACCCACTCTCCTAGCCCGTCCAAGTCCATCTGAAGCCTCCCGGCTTCCTCAACACTACCTGTCCCTCCATCTATCTTTGCATCAACTTGGAGGGAATGTTGGTCATATTATCTTTAACATGTATGCTTCAATACTATTGTATACTTCATCTGTCCATCACAATAAATAACAGCTATTCACCCCTCAGCCTGACCTGTCATTCAATGAGATTGTGTCTGATTTGATTGTGACTTTAATTTAAAATTTTGTAGGAAACAAATTATGAACCTGAAGATTTCAACAGCTTTATCCATTTTGAATAGATAAAACACTTAGTGAGAAAGAGAAACCATCTCCTAACACAAATACAAAAAAAATTAAACTGGACTTACACACAATACCATAGGTCCCTTCACCAATGCGATTTAATTTTACAAATTCTTTCACACTTCTGCTTCTTCCTAGCTGCAAATAAAAACATAAACAATCTATTTCACACAGAGTTTCTGTCCGGGGTGTTTGTATAATGGTTGGTAGTAACTTCTATCTTATGTGAGATATTGTATTATGATTCTCTTTACTAACTCACTCACAAGCACTCTTTGTTTTTACCATGCTGTGTTTCCATTCACAAAACCACGTTCTTGCAGTACATTTGACTCTTTCAAGATAAACTAAATTAAACATCCCTTCCTCGGCTGCCAATCTATTACTGTTTCTTTACACCTTTCAATTCTTATCGGCCCCATGCTGCAAGCAGTGTTTAGGCCTGTTTCTGTGTCAGAGGCTACCCCTGTAATACTGTAACCTACACAGAACGATGCCATCCCCACCATTGTGTTTCCATAACTCACTCGAAACTATGGAAAGGTTGTAATATTAATTAGCCGTTAGAAACCATCTTTCGTGACTGAATAGGCTGCAGGACATCAAACAGTTTCCTCCACTAGTATGTCCCTCCACTCTGCTGCTTTTTATCTCTTTGAAATTTCCTTATACACTACCTATTTTTATCACACTGTACTATGTATTTCTAACTTTTATTTAGGGCTACCATCTTGTACTAACGTGCAGATTTATACTTTTCAAATACACATTAAATCTACTAACATTTCTAACTTTAAAGACAAAAAGACTAACACCTCTTAATTATGCAAACTGAGACCAGCCAGACATTCTAATACCATCAGGAGTAACAGCCGGCATTTAGCACGTGCTTAAACCATCTTCTGCTTTCCCAGGACAGATGTCACGCAAACTTGTGTACAATAGACACAACTATGTGACACCATTATGCTAAAATTTTAATGTATGTAAAAACTGTGTACAAAAGCAGCTACTGTAAAACTAGACTTTGGATTCCATCACCATCTCAAACTGTGCTACTGCGGATGCTCAATAAAGAGGCTATTTTTGCCACTCATCAATCTCAGTCATTATTGAAACACGATTTCATACTTAAAAGACCTCTCCAGCACCAACCAGACAAACTCAACCACATGAAGCCAAGGTTATTCAGAGATCTCAAATTGCTCAATTCCTCGAGAATCTGTTGACACTCCACAGACTGGCTTCTCAACTCCATATACCCTGTGGTTAGGTTACCACAGGGCGTAATGGGACATAGGAACATTTATTATGTCTCCATAACAAAAGCTTTTGTGGGAGACATGACAATCAAGTTGCAGTGGCACCATCCAGAACTTTGGGAACAACAGGTTCAACATCGAATATCCTGTGGAGAAACTGATGTGAGATGCTAAAATCTACCACATCTATCAAGGCACTGCTAAGATCCAAACATTGTGTTGACATGCAATGATCATTGAGAAGTACAAGCAGCGAAAGATCTGTCTGTTCAGTCTGATCTAACTGCATATCATTTAAATGGTTAACAACGCAATTCCAATTCTTAGATTGATCCCACTTTTTCTTCTTTGCAATGG